ACATGGATGTCCAATATCAAGGAAGTACACGGTAAACCAAGGCTGCATGTCTCTGTCAACGTATTATTTGGAGTATGGCCGCCATGTTGGGCGACTCCGCCGTCGTCGTGCGTACGCACCCACGAGCAATACCGCTAGCCAAGATAACCACGAGAAAATCAACTCATGGGTTTCCTTTTCTTTCCTATATGAGTATGGGGCTCCGCTTGGCAGCCCTTTGGACCGCCGGAGCTCCGCAATTGACTGAAGCCGATCAAGAGTGTCCTTCATACTCACCGATTCTTCCTACGATATCTAAAACCAAACCATAAAGCTCCACTTAAACATAGCAAAGCCAAAATGGAGCTGCCCAAAATCTTCGCTACCAGTAACAAAATGGATTTCCCAGTGCTCTGACCATTGTTGTGAAGGATATTAGCTCCTGTAGAGTCTGAATGCAATAAAGAAAGAAATACCACACCTTGCTAAAAATAAATTTATTTCATTGACACCTCAATTTGTTAACTTTTGAAACTTGAATCAGTCAAAATTGATGTTATCATCATTATTTCAATGCCGCATAAATATTACTTTGAATGCTCAAAACAATCTTTAGTAATACTATATATATTTATATACCTTAGTGGTAAGCAAAATGATCACAATGATTAACAAAAACTTTGACAAACGGTCTAGCTTATATCAGTTCTTCGTTTCTCACCCTTTCCTTCTTAAAAACATTCCCGCAAGCATTTTAAATAGTACTTTGAGGTGGAATCCCTCCACGCGGACAATTCCATAATACAGACCATCATGCCTCTTTGGTGTCTGTAACAAGGGGGGCACTAGCAAGGAAGTTCAAGTGTATGCTTAAGACTCAAAGCCCCCAGAGCGTCAAAATAAGCCAGGATAAATATAAGGGAAAATCTTCAAATAGAGGCATCTACCTTTACATTTGTGTAAATTGCAGCTCTCTGTGGATAGATTTGTCCCAGGGCAATCTTTTCCATTCCATTTTGGCGCTGGATTAGAGCATGCGCGAGCCCGCGTCCTGTTTCCCCCTCCACACGTCACACTGCATGGTTGCCATGACGACCACTGGCTCCAGCTCCCATTCACTGATGATTAGAAGAAACAATCCATGACATGAAAGCTCTAAAAGGTGTATAAACTGCTGAAGTTTGGAATTGATAAAACTTGATCAGCTTTTTAGAGAAGGCGTTTTTCTATAAAACGACTTCACGGTCGGCACGACAAATAAAAGGTGTTTGGTTACGTTTTTATTCAGTAATAAAATCCAATGGACTGGAGAAGCCAGGGGCCTCGAGGCAGGTGCTTAATACGAGTTTAGAAATGTTTACAACTGAGAGAAATTAACATTTAGATCAGTTGGTTGGGCGGACCCAAATGCTAATCATCCTACATAATATTAGTCAAAATATAAGGGTTTAAGGGAATTGTTTTCTTAGAAGATTTTCGCCAGATAGATCAACAACAGTAGCTAAAAGTTATTCCAAAGACTAAGGAAACCTAAAGTAGCTTAAACACACAAATTTTTTGGCCATACCGGTAAATATCTGGTTAAACTCCAACAATAATCTTGAACCATGAAGAATCTTTGATCATTATACGGCATGCTCTTACGAATCTCCCAGGCTCTTACGTTTTTTGTCAGAGAGCTAAATTTCCCGTGAAGTGACCAACTGGTAACTAACCTTCAACAAAGCGGTAAACAAATATGGTCCATGTAGCTCCCACGCTATAATTTGATGAACAATTGTCGGATCTCCCGTATCTGTTGTAAGTCCTACTACCGTTCACCCCACTCCAGCACTGGTGGCGATATTCCACGCCAAAATACCAGTAGCCAATCTCAAAGACTTCAGTAGCACACGCGTGAATTATGTCGGCGAATGAATTGGCCAAATCTTTCTCGTTGATCATGTCAGAGAACGATTTGACTTGTATTGGTAGAACGCGTCGATTTCTTTTATCTTTGAAACAACCGACTGGTTCGTACGGATGCAGTACCGATGTATCTGTGTAGAAAAACCACAAAATCATTTAGTAGAGAAATCAAGACACAAGTTAGCAACTTGCATAGCTGAGGATTTTTTGCCGCGCATTTCGCGCGAAGAAGTCTCCACCATACCATTTATCTTGCGGAATTGTCGCTCGTTTACTACTTCGTATATCTTATTGCCATCGTGCGAAAATGGGCGGCCAGGCAAATAAGATGTCATTGACAGATCGGTACAATCATAAAATATCCTAAAAACCAAAAACTAACTCAGCTCGGGAATGAAAAGCAAGGAACATTCTAAAGCATCAGAAAGGCAAATTACATTTTAAAGGAAATACTTCCAAATAAAGGCATCTATTACCTCTACATTTTTGTAAATTGCAGCTCTCTGTGGAGATATTTGTCCCGGGGCAATCCATTCCGTTCCATTTTGGCGCTGGATTAGAACATGTGCGAGTGCGTCTCCTGTTTCCCCCTCCGCACGTCACGCTGCATGGCTGCCATTGCGACCACTGGCTCCAACTGCCATCTACTGATGATTAGAAGAAATAACTCATGACAAAGAAAGCTCTAAAAGTATATAGACTGTTGACGTTTTGAGTTTCAGTGACCTACCTTTACAACTGTGCAAATTGCAGCTCTCTGTGGAGATATTTGTCCCAAGGCAATCCATTCCGTTCCATTTTGGCGCTGGATTAGCGCATGTGCGAGAACGTGTCCTGTTTCCCCCTCCACACGTCACACTGCATGGTTGCCATGACGACCACTGGCTCCAGCTGCCGTTCACTGATGATTAGAGGAAGCAATCCAAAACATGAAAGCTCTAAAAGTGTATAAACTGTTAAAGATTTGAATTGTGGGAAAATTGATCGCCTTATGCTCTAAATTTGTATAAAAACAATTCACGGTTCCGATAAAATTGTTTAAGCTTTTTATTCAGTGTTCCAATCCAATGGACTGGAGAGCCCAAGAGCCTCAACATGGCAGGCGCTTAATACCAGTTTACATACCATTTTTTTGGAACTAACGGAAATTAATCAGTAGATAAATTGGCAGGGGACCCAAACGCTGATCATCCTGCATAATATTAGTTATCAAAATAAAAGGGTTTTTAAGTTTGTTGTTGACCATATCGCAAGAAAATGTTTATCTTACTAGAATTTTTCAGATCGTTCAACACCAGCTAACACTTATTCGAAAACCAAAATAATAAACCTGAAATAGCTTGAACACAGAAAGTTCTCGGGCATACCGGTAAAATAAATGAGAAAGCTAATCTCAGATGGCAGAAAAACTAAATATCTGGTTAAAATTCAACACTAATTTGGAACTGTGAAAAATCTTTGAGCATTCGAAAAAGCAGCAACATTTCGTCAGAGTGCTAAATTCCCAGTGAAGTGATCAACTGGTAACTTAATTACCTTCAACAAAGCGGTAAACAAATATGGTCCATGTAGCTCCCACGCTATAATTCGATAAACAATAGTCGGATCGCCCATGTCTGTTGTACGTCATGCTACCGTTCACCCCACTCCAGCACTGGTGGCGATATTCCACGCCAAAATACCAGAAATCATTCTTGTACACTTCGGTAGCACACGCGTGAATTATGGCTGCGTATGAACTGGCCAAATCTGATTCGTTGATCATGTCAGAGAACGTTTTGACTTCTACTGGTAGAACACGTCGATTTCTTTTATCTTTGAAGCAACCGACTGGTTCATACGGATACACTGCCGTTGTATCTGTGCAAAAAAAGAACAGAGAGTCATTTAGTGGAGACCTCAAGCTATAAATTAGCAGCCTGCATAGCTGGTGGTTCTTGCTGCTCATTTCACGGGAGGTTCTCAAGTCTGTGCCATCCAGTTTATCTTGCTGCATTAATAGTCGCTCGTTTATCCCTTCGCCGCTTCGCTAAAAGGGGCGCCCAGACAAATAAACTGCCATGGCTATATCGGTTTAATTTATTTATTATTTTATTAGGAAACTGTACAGTTCTGCTGGATGTTCAGAAGCATACGTCGTATAAAATTATATAATTAACAATTATTTACCGAAGTGGAGGTAAATATCCATCACTTTCACCGACACTGAGGTGAATAATTGTTTCAGTATATACCACACAAGCTGAATAATTAGCGGACCAAAACGAAAACGTTATTTTATGTGTGACAAGCGGTCGGAAATTTCAACATCTCTCGCGCAGGCTGCTCGGAGGTGAATAGTACTTGCTAATCACCTCCAATCAGAGAGCGCGAAAAACACTATTCACTTGTGTGGTGTATACTACTGCTGCTGCTGCTGCTGCTGCTGCTGCTGCTGCTGCTACTACTACTACTACTAATTATTATTATTATTATTATTATTATCATTTTTATTACTTTTATCATGTTATTATTATTATATTATTATTCAAAAGCAAACAATTGTCAAATACTTGTGAAATGTTCGTGGCTAGTCTGACACGACGTTTCGTCTCGGCCAAGAGACTCTTCAGAGACCTTTAGAATTCATAGGCAAACTCGTTGAACATCACGCCTAAAGTCCCGTTCGCAAATTCTTGATGTTGACAGTCTGGCCCTCTATCACGGAGGGATTCCCAACCGTACATTCACGAGTTAAATTTGTACAAAAGCAAACAATTGTCAAATACTTGTGAAATGTTCGTGGTTAGTCTGACGCGACGTTTCGTCTCGGCCAAGAGAACGGGAGTTTGGGCGAACGGGACTTTGGGCGTGCTGCTCAACGAGTTTGCCTATATATTCTAAAGGTCTCTGAAGAGTCTCTTGGCCGAGACGAAGCGCCACGTCAGACTAGCCACGAACATTTCACAAGTATATTATATTATTATCATTAATCCTAAAATACAACTCATGCAGCCGATTCCTTAAGAGATACTCCCTCCTGTATGCAAAAAGCTGTTTAGCGACGTCACAAAAAGTCCAGAACCCTGGCAAAATAAACTTGATAAATATTTTTCACTTAAGGCAAGAAGGGTTGCTACATCACTGATTTATGAACTCTGTGCGAGATCCTATAGAAGAACAAACACGTTCAATGATGTGAGTAGCATAGGACTACAACAATAAAAGTTCTGGCCTGTTGAAGTACTTAGTAAAGGGAAGGCCGTACTACATTGGCTGTAAACTTTAAGGACAGTACTTGAATACGTCGTGTGCAGTCTTTGAAATCGGGGTAACGTAAGAGTATGTTAACAGCAATAGCTTTACGTTTAAACCAATGAACAATACTTCGTGAATTTTTTTTTTTTTTTTTTTCAATTTCTTTTCGGTTGGGTTCTTCTTGTTATTTAGCCTATTTTCGTTTGTAGAAAAGGTACAAATCCTAGTCAGAGATGTATTTTTCGATCCTTTAATTTAAAACAAATTACTCATCTATAATATTAAACTTTTCGTAAAAAATGCTTATATGGACAATGTTTCTGAGTGAGCGAAGGAATTGACACAAAAAAGACGTTTGATAGGAACTTTTCTATGGCCAAAATTTCATCTTCACTGGTGCTTGCGAAACCGTGTCTTATGATTATACGTACTTGATTGTGATGTGTTGCTCTGCGAGATGCCTTCATTTGGCCAAGCTTGTAGTATTACGGTTCCGATGAACATCAATCCGCAATGAAACATTGTGTTGGAAACGATTCCTGGCTTGAAATTTTCTCGGGAAAGGAACCTCATTGTGATGGCTCTATAGCTAGGGAGTAAAATAAAACATGCAGTCATCACAAAAATAGCTACCGCAAACTTAAGACAAATAATGATAATCGAATATTTACCCAGGATAACCCTTCAGTACAAAGTATTCTTAGCAACGGGGCTCTGTTGACTAAGAATTAAAAACCAAAATTATATAATTAAAAAGCTATTAATTAAAAAGCACCCGCAATTCGCTGTTTAATTAATAGGTGATATTGAGTTATTCTCTGTGGACACGCTATTCATCTAACTTAAGAGCGGAAATGTAAGAAAACAAAATGCACTAAGCCGTCAATATAAGGTGTTTAATGTTGTTAAATGCAGACACTTACAGAGTTGAAACTGGTTGTCAGACAAATTCAGTTTTGTTATCCGCGGTAACCTAGCTTCACAAGTCTTCGTATCTTCATGGGGGATTGGAAGGTGATTTTTGCAGTGAAATTTTCGGTCCGGTCCTGTGAGAAGCGGTGTCTACTATATACAGTATTGGCTTTGGTTATGAAAGAAAAAGAGCTAATTACTATTTATACGGTCACGGTTTATAATGATAATAACTGCTAAATTAAAACACATCTCTCGCATCCTCTCATTATCACCCACTTATTATATTGCGCACCTTTTTTATTATCGGACTGCTTAGTCATCAACGAATTTATAAACTGAGTACTACCAAATTACAAGCAGAAATCTTCCTCCGTATCGAAGGATTGCCAACGACGGCGACTTTAAATGCAGATTATTACATGTTAAGTGTCTGATATGGTTTTTATTGACGAGTTTCAAATACCACATCACGTACGAGCGAGTCTTCGAGCTAGTGTGCGACATGGTATTAAAGACTGGTGAACAAAACGATATCGTGCTCTTAACACATTATAACATATGATTTGTTTATTGCGCGCATATCCGAAAAAGTAAGACAACTGAATTGGGTTTTACAGGATGATATCGAAATCACAGACCAAAAGGATATAATTAGAGTACAGAAGTGTGTTTTAACAGGCTTTACACACCCCTGAGAAACTCAATTTAGCGATTAGTAGGGCAGACAATTTTTCACGTTTTTCAATCAAGGTTATTTAAGGCTGAAGTTGACTCATAAAGAAAAGGACTCTTGCAAGGGTAATATTTCTGCCAAGGAATGTTTACACGCCCTCAATGTTATGGGTGATGGTAAAATTCCTGAGATGGATGGTTTAACTGTGGAGTTGTATAATATTTTTTCTGTTAGGACCCAGCCACTATTTAGTGCTGGCAATTTCTTATATAACATTGTCGATCACTCAGAAAAGCGCGCTTATAACTTCCCTATACCTAAGCCAAACAGGACAACATTTACTGTAAAAAAAATGTCGATCACTCAGAAAAGCGCGCTTATAACGTCCCTGTACCTAAACCGAACAGGACAACATTTTCTGTAAATATTGGACTCCAATTTCTTAAATTGGAGTTGATTACAAAATTGCTTCTGCTGTCACCGCAAATCGTATTAAGGTCCTTCCAACCATCATATCACACACCCCAAAACCTGGATGAACCCGGTTTTTTCATGTTACCATCCGAATTGATTAAGAAGTTTAATTAACAGT